CAAGTGCCAGGATTAGAACTCGTGCCTGTGAAATTAGAAGTGATGACTAATCGTCTTTTTCCACAAGTAGGTTTTTTTTCACTTTTTATTTTTTTAAGTGACACTAACTGAAACACTTGCCGTGATTCAAGTTAGAACGAGCTTATAAACCACAGCTTCATTTGGAAACACAAGTTCAACGAAAGTCAACTTTTGAGGTTGCCTATTTTTATTTTTCAAAGCCATCCGTTTTATAGATACATTTGTTATGCATATTGTTTACTTAACATACTATATGTAAAGCACCTTTTTGTGCTTTCTACAAAGTTATGCAATTTAATTAGTGCAGTTACATAAATGGTGGATAAAATGTAGAGCGAAAACAATTTATTATTTGTTTTCATCGGCAAAAGTCACAGAACGCATCCAGCACAAACTGCAAGTATTTGTCAGTAAAAGTCTCCGTCGTATATTTAAAATTTTCTAGCCACGGTTAATCTCAAACAACAAACTTTTCGCCATATCCAAAAATGTACTAATAGAACTCAAGTTTAAAAACCGGAAGTGGCGTTGGATTGGACACGCTCTCCGGAGAGCCAACACCGCCATTTCGAAAATTACCTTTGAGTGGAACCTCTAAGTTAAGCGTTGATATGGCCGCCCACGAGTTACCTGACTGTGCTCTATCCAAGCTTCATATCGGCAGTTTGGTAATGGAACGAAATTTGGCAAAAGGCAGACAATTATGAAAAATCGTCTCCGCCCTATGCTCTTACTAAGAGTGGTGTCTTTACCCATTGTATTGTAGATAAATACATTTTAAATACACTAAGAAAATAATAATAAATATCTGATCAATCTTGGAGCTACTAATAAGGCTTAATCAATGAGTTGGCTGGAAACTTCAACCTTTCATAAAATATAGTCGAAAGTACATTGATGGGACAGATATTAGACTGATCCCGCGATATTTGGTGTAATCATCCCGTCGCCTTTTTTCAAGACAAGACAGAGGATACTGAGACTCCAATCGATGAGCATACAAATCATATGCAGCAAGATAAGCTAATACATGCTAACTATAGGCACATCGCCGCCGACCTTCACAATTCTCCGAGAACATTTCTCCAAAGGCGGAATTTATATTATCATTTCCAGAATGTAGTTCTTTCCATATTTTCAGTACACTTTCGGGATGATGCTCCATGTTTAAAGCCTTAATTCAGACGCTCAAGTTTTTAATAAAATTTACGAGTATCATTCCTGTTTCTTTACACTTTGATTTCTTCTCACTCGCGCCTTTTTTGATTTCGTTTCTGCATAGGCGGCGTTATAAATATTAGGGTGCGGGAATCTGGTACTACTATGTTTCGCGGCGCACCAAAACAAATTACTTATGTATAATGTAGAGCGAATATATGGTGTATTTATACAATTGAAATAAAAAACAAGAATACACGACATCTTATCCAATTTAAAAATACATTGTATTTACGTTTACTTCGACAGAAACAAATATGTGATGACAAATTACATTGCACATTTAGTCATAGATTTAATCATTTGAATTTTTGTTTTATGCATAATTTTCACCCTTATTTAGTTTTGTTTGCGACCTCAACAATTCACATTCAGGGCTCTGTCCCTTATGTAGTCATCATCAGGATACTATGTAATACCAATAGAATGCAGCAATATTTATCCTCTTCCGGATTTGTTGAAGGTATTTTCACACACCTGAGCTATACAGTGTAGTAAATCAGTTTTATAAATGAGTACGTTATAACTAGGAGTTTGTAGGGCAGTTTGTAGGACGTATTTGTTGGATATTTTCTTGGTGTAACAACTTTACATTATTTAGGTCCGACTCATGTTTTGATCTGATTCAAAATAAAGCCAGTGGTGTGTTGAACTCAATATTCGCGTTTTCAATTTGATTTTGTTTACCAACAAATACTTGTTTGCATATGTTGGATCCGTCACCTTTGAATTTGATTTGATAACCCACATTGTGTTTATTCAAAGTGTTAATTTTTGTTTTGGTGTTTGAGTATAGCGTCTACATTGTGCTTTATATCCTATATTTTGTTTTATAATGTTGTTTGTGACATATATTAGATGCTGAAATTTGATTTGAAAGTTCAGCGACGTATACAACAATTTTATAGGTTTGGATATTCTGGTTAATTTGTTAATTTCTTTTTTTTTCCAAGATTTTAGTGATCATTGGGTTAGGGAAATTATTTAAAAATCTTTCTAAGAGCATTAGAATTAAGTAAGGCAATTTTCTACAGGAAGGTTAGAAATAACATCAAAAGGGTTAGTTCAGTTCCGATATTTCGAGATCTATCAAATGTCAACTAAATGGCAAAGGAGTTGAACGTATCGCGAGAAAGGATACAAAACATTTTGAAAAATATGCTTGAACTAAAACAATTGAAGTAAAACAAAGTGCATGATCTCATTGATGAACAAAAAAAGTTAGAATCGAAAGAGTCAAAGGGTTAGTTCGTTTGGTCGAATGTAGTGGGTTGCCGAATTTGGTTTTTTCTGATGAGTCACCATTGAACACTACGTAAAAAAGCAAAATTATTGAGTTCACATGTCAGAGAGATCCATTGAAAACATACGATTGGCCACCAGAAAACAGGTGCCACCGATGGTGATGGTATCGGGAAATTATTTTAGAGGGAGTATTAAAGCTCTGGACAAATGAGCATTTTGGTGGCAGGCGTTGAACATTCCAACAGGACTCAGCACCATCGCACAAAACACGCGTCAACCAAAAAAAAAAATGCCTGAAAAACAGATGAGCATTTCGGTTGCAGGAGTGGCACATTCCAACAGGACTCAGCACCATCGCAGAAAGCACGCGTCCTCCAAGAATGGTTGAGAAATAACGTTCCGTGTTTTATTTCAACAACACAATGGCCACCGTGTTCATTTGATATAAACCCCTTAGATTTCTGGTATTTTACAAACTAAGGTAAGCTCTACCAAAATTCGTGTGGCGTGCGATAGCTTAATTTGCCATTTGAAGGCCATAATTCATGCTAGAGGTGGCCATATTGAACTAAAATAAAATTACAAAAATTTAAAGTTCTTTTCGCATTTTTTATTTATGTTTTATTAAATAAAACAAAAATTAACAAAATAAAGCGTTTTACTTTATTATAATTTTCATCAGCAACCTTGTATTTGTCAAGAGCATATGACAACTTGACAATTTATCAAGAGAAGTGCTTTTTTACAGCTTTTTTTTATATAAACCTGACAAGTGAATTTGTCAAGAACACCGAATAAGGGGGTTAGTGTTGGCATTTTCAATAGATAACTCTGAATTCAATTTAGATGTGTTAAATTTCGTTGACCAATTGAACATTTTTAGTGTAATCTAAAATTTTTGTAGTAGTGTTAGTAAATAAACAAATTGAATTGAACTGTTCACAGTAACTTATTTTGCTTTGTAGTTGTTCACAACATTTACCCAAAATCTTCTACTTTTTTCCGTTTTTGCAAATGTTTGAAAGTTGAAAAACATACCTTCATTTGCATATGCTCCCAAATGTATTATTATCTTGATTTTATATCTTTCTTCAAAATTATAGCCAAATACATAAACAAACAAATTGGGCACATTTGGAAACGAACCACACTTCTTTATTTGTCAAATCATATAAAATAGCAGTTAATTTTAAGGAAATCTTGTTACACTGGCTAAATATATAGAGTGTTATACATTAATCTCGAGTGTATATAGATTTGCCAATCGAAAATGGCACAAAAAACGAATCTCGATTAAAAAATTTACCCAGGGATTTACCTACCGAAAACGCCATATGTTTCTGTTACGATATAAAAAACAATAATCGTAACGAATATGGCATTACTGATGTGATCGGCTGTTTATTGTGATAAGAAGAAGCATGCAAGTGAAGTGAGGAGGTCGGCAGAAATATATAAAAAACGCGTGCGTGAGATATATATATATACATATTAGATTCATTTAATTATAATAATGCAATATATGATTTCTAATAAATAAATAAGAAAAAACAAGGAATCATAACATATAGCTCGAAAAATCAAATAACACTTTGGGAACACCAAATAGCTATAAAATTTCCACAATCATGATTGTAAGCATGATTACAAAAGTAAACACGACATAACTACCTTGCACTTCATTCAATGTTTGCTGTTGCAAATGATTATTTCGTTTTTAGTACAATACAATATATGAGACAAAGATAAAAATTAAATAAATTAGAATGTCGTCTAGAAAAGCAACTCATGCAGGAAGTTGGTATTCCAGCTCTGGTAAGTGTTATTAATAATGCAGCAGAATGTTCCTTAGGTTTAATCGATAACATCAAAATATTGAGTCCAAAATTATACCAGCAGTTTTGTGTAAAATATGTTTCTATATACAGATTTAAATTATATACAATTTGTTTTAATATATATACATTGAACGGATTTATCTTTTGTATAAATTTTATATAAATTTATAAATTTTTTTAATACTTAGAGTAAAATTTGTTAATCGAATATTCTTATTGGAGAAATATTTAGATTGATCAACGTAATTGATATGTACAAATCCATGCAACAATAGGGGTATTCAAACGTTTTTTGTAAAACGACAAAATTTAACAGTATTTGTTTTTTTATGAAATTACAATGCGTCCACAAGTTAATGAACTTGGGGGAAAACATCAGCTGATTCTTATTATTTTGCATTGTTGCACAGATATTAATTTTAATTTAGAATATTAAGTAGTCAATACAACAATAAATAAAAAATATTGAAGATATAAAAAATTATATAAAAGAACAAGTTTCACCCAATTTCTGAATTTTTTTTTTTAATTTTACTTTATAAAAATTAAAAGCTTTCTTAAGTTTCTCATATTATTATTGTACCAAGTTACCAAGCAAATTTCAAGTACGCCTAAAATTTATTGTTGATCATGACGAAGTCATCGTAAAAACTATGGACATTGTTTAAATTTATCTGGTGGTTTTTTGTTGTAGTTGAAGCGAGTTATATAAAATTCTTGAACTGTGTCATATCAATATGAGTGTGGGTTTTCTTTAAACAAATATTAAATTTGTTTAATAGAAAGTCATTTCCGAAGTTTCGTTAATTACTTAACAGTATATTTAACTTAAAATTTCTAATATTTATCGAATCCAATATAGAAGTTGTAGTTTCTAAGAGGTTTATGATTTATGATTTAAGAGATTTATGTTAGGAACAGGGTAAACAACATAGTAGGCAATATAATTTCTTGGAACTTTTTCTAATATATTACTTAAATTAATATATTATATATATAGGTGCTGAACTTTCTCAACAACTTGATGTGTGGTTGAATACGGCAGAATTACTTCATGGTCCTGCACGAGCAATAATTGCACCGTAAATATATTCAAACATTTGTTAATATTGTTTAAAAATATCTTTTTAATAGTCATGCGGGTTACGCGTATTGCGGTGAGTGTGGAGCATTTGCTTATCGACAAGTAAGTCCAGCTGTTGTGTAAGTATTATAATTAAAGACAATGAGTTATTTTCGAAAAATCTTTTATTTTACTTATAGGAAACGGATATTTATATTAGGCCCTTCCCATCACGTGCGATTACGTGGTTGTGCGTTAACTACAGCTAAAACATACACAACTCCTTTGTATGATCTCAATATTGATACTCAAAGTAAGTAATGTATACATACTAAAGTACTGCATGCACGCATTTGATTTCAGTTTTAAATCATTCTATTGTGTTGAGAATGGTAGCATACTCTCACTCTCAACGAACGAATACGAATGAATACGCGTAAAAACAAAATGGAATGAAATGAATATTAGTTTTGTTTTTTTGGAGTACTCTAACTCTAAACATTCTCAAAGTAGTTGAAGTATTTAAAGGTACTCTAAGCATTTGATTTTCAATTCATGCAAAATGAACTTATGTGTTTTTAAATAATAAGACACAAATTGATTTATTTAAGTTTTTTTATTAATTAAATATTATTTAAAATGTTGACAATACTAATTTGTTAATTTTATAATTAAGCTAATTACATATATAATATGACTTAATATATTTATGAAATATAAAAAAAATTTTGAACAAAAATTTATTTAAAAAATTATAATGGGTTTTTTTACAGTTTTGATACAACAAATAGGAGAAAAAATAGTACTCTATAGTAATTTTAGTTAGCTTTTTAACTTAATTTAATTTAATTTAATATACAAATGAAATGTTTAGCATCGCCTGACTTAATTTTTTTTTTTAAGATTGTTGTGTTATTGAAAATCCATATATTCATATTTATATAAAAATCTATACAATATATATAGAAATATATGAGTACACATAGTTTACCCTTTGCATTAGATCTACCTGTTTAAGCATTTTTGGATTATTGCGTGCCACCAGGGACCGTAACAGTTATCATAAAAAAAATAAAAATCATCTTATAACTGTTATCATATGCATTTTAAAATAAAACTCAAAAAATAATAATTAAATTTGATTTTTATTATATTCATCAAAAATAATAATTATTATATGCCTTTTATTTTTTTCGCGCAGAAATAACTCTTAAAATTTGCTTCTTATTTTAAAACGCACAAATAACTGGTATACTTGCGTTATATAATATAAAAAGCAAGAGTATCGCGCAAATTCTGCGCGATATTTTTAAAATGAAAATATGAAATGCAATTTTCATACAAGGTAGTTGTTTTTGTAATTCCATAGAAAATGTTTTAAAAGGTTGGTGCAGGTAAAGATTTAGTTTAGTTTTTTGTTTTTGTATTTTGCATACAAATTTGTTCTCCTACAAAATACAAATATAAATACAAAATATGAATCCAAAATACAAAAACAAAAAACTGAACTAAATCTTTACCTGCACCAACCTTTTAAAACATTTTCTATGGAATTACAAAAACAACTACCTTGTATGAAAATTGCATTTTATATTTTCATTTTAAAAATATCGCGCAGAATTTGCGCGATACTCTTGCTTTTTATATTATATAACGCAAGTATACCAGTTATTTGTGCGTTTTAAAATAAGAAGCAAATTTTAAGAGTTATTTCTGCGCGAAAAAAATAAAAGGCATATAATAATTATTATTTTTGATGAATATAATAAAAATCAAATTTAATTATTATTTTTTGAGTTTTATTTTAAAATGCATATGATAACAGTTATAAGATGATTTTTATTTTTTTTATGATAACTGTTACGGTCCCTGGTTG